CCCCTATCCACTTATTTGCATGTGACATTGTGAACATGCAAAGCACAAGTAGGATGCAAAAGTCCTGAGCTCTGTTCTGCTCTCTCAACAGGAAGGAACTGATCAGACCGATGGGAGTGATGAAGGATGGCACTCTAGCACCCCTAGGAGAAGCCATCCATGAATGCAGCCCTCCACCCAGCAGTGACTCCGACTCAGACTAGCAGTTTAGTTCACTCAGACAAACCCTCTAGGCACCGCTGCTGCCGGCTGACCACCACTGTCTTACCAACTGTCCCTTGAACAGGGGATAGTTGTTATTTCTTATTGAGGTCCTTTTGTTGCACGAGGGCATGTCTTTCTAATTGGGACATGAATGGTGAATTATAGAGAGTGAGCAGAGAGAGGAAGCAGAAATGTTTAAATAGATGAACGGTTGTCACCGGACTTCAGATATAATCACAGTGACTGTATAAGATGGATCTGTTAAATAGGAAGTTACACAACATATTCACATGTCTCTGTGCACAAGTAAATGCACTTGGTCTTCAATAATGAAGTATAAGGCTTTATGACATTTACCCTTAAGTAAAGCTGTTCATTTAGGTTTGTATTTATTAAACAGTCTGTGGCTGTTGCTGGTTCACAGATGGAAGAAACCTGTTCCCCTGCGTTTCAAAATACTTGAATGTGTTTTGAAATGTTATATGCCAAGACAAGCCATGAGATCACTTATGCTAAGAAATGGTTTGTCTTGCACTTAATTGTTTTTGCAAACTGTGCATTGAATTTTTTTTCCACCACTTATGCCTGGAGTTTTAAACAAGTGTGTTTTCTAATGTTCTATATTACTTTTAGCTACACAATTTTCTATATACATTTTCTTTTTTCTTTCAATGTTATTGGAGGTGTCATTTTCTTTTTCTAAGGAATGTTAAGTTTTACACAAAACAAAGGATGTAATTAAATTCAGATTTCTGGTTACTATCTTTGATTTAAAAGCTTGAGAATATTTCACGAGGCCCAATACTCCTCTGCTATAACTACTGTAAAATCAGAAGGGGCTTTTTATAAAATGTTATTTTTTAATTTCCTTCAATTTTTGCATTTAGGTTTTTTGTTGATTTTCATTTCAGACAATCATTTGCAATAAAAAAAAAAAAAAAACTAGCAGTGTCATTCACTTATCGCATGCAGAAACATGTTTTGTAATTTTGGCTGTGAATATAAAAATGCTAATTTAACATCACTAATCCTAGTGTAATTACGGCAAGAGATCACATTAAATGCGCTTTAGGGGAGAAAAAAATAAATAAATTACATGATAAAATAGTTGTATTCAAGATTGAATCCAACTGTTGCTTTTCGAAAACGATTTGTATCCAAATCCAGTGTGAAATTTGCTTTAAATTCAAAAACGCGGTAAACTGAATATTCCATAGTTGAACAGAATCTATGTAAATAAGATGAACAAAACCAAAGAGACAAAGCCATGAATATATTTATTAAATACCATACAATGCAATCTTTATTAACAGGATATAATAAAAATAAAAAAAAGCATTTTAATATTCAGAAGTACAAATGACGAGAACGTTAAGAACAACAAATGCAAGCTTTAACTACTATCAATCATATTCAACTGGAGAGGCAAGTTGACTGGAGTCCCATTTTAAACAACAACCATTCCACGAATCAGAAACACTGATTTAACAGACAGCTGGTAAACAGGCATGAACAGATATGATCACAGCAGTGTGGTAATTACCAGCTACTTCACTGATCCTGTGTAAAATCAAATTGCGCTCACAGCCATTCTCATACGCAGAACCACACACAGCGGGATATTGGGGTTCTTTGTTGCTAACCAAAGACATTTAGAGTTTTGGGAGGGTTGGAGCTCCTGCTTGGAGGCTGCAGTGCCTGTGAAAACACACAGTTGGGGGCACTGCACACTTGGGAGGTCATGCCTCCCATGCTAATTTAGCACCGTTCACTTGCTGGAGCCAAACCATGACTCGCTGGATACCAAATGACTTACAACTAGCAAACAAATACATAGACATACACTTATATACAACCGTACATTTCCAATTTTTCACATTAACTGCACACCACCAACCTTTCCAAATAAAGATTCAAATCTTGATTATGGTTTGAATATAGTTTGTAGAATGCTAAAGGAGCCTTATAACACATTTTATCTGTCCAGAGATAATCAGTGGTCCTAAACTAACAAAATAAGTGCCACATTTCAGGGTCTGATAAAAATGTATTTTTACCTAAAAGCAGACATTTTCGCATTCTAAACAGGTCCGTATCTTTGAATCAGGATGTGCAGATGTGACGTAATTACAGTTCTCTGCTTATACTCCTTATGAAAAGCCATAATGAATAAGTGCTAGAATTGAGAAGAAATCCAGATGCAGGTTTTCAG